CCCACCAACTTCAATACTGTCGGGGTACAATGAGTGATAATTTCGTTCTTGTGGTTTCTCCTTCCCAAGACTCTGCCTCAGCTGTTAGCATTCCCTTTATAAGCCTCACACGGTTTCCATGTAACTGATCACAGCTCCAATGTATTTATGTGCACATTGTCCCTGCCTGGTTTCTTCTGTTGTGTCCTGCTCTCTTTCTTGTTCTTTCCAGTTTGTCCCATGCTGTAGATACACCATGCTCCTCCCAAAGTGATATATAGACCTCAGTCTTGTTCATCCAGCACAGATCATGACATGCAACTGTTTTATGGAGGCCCAATAGGTTTATCATTAGTGAACAAACAGCCAAAGAACACAGCAAATATGTCAAAGATACAGTTTAGAAAAAATGTACAACAGGTTTTGATTATAAAATGTTTCTTGCTTTGAGTATCGTACATAACATATATTTAGTAAAGAAAAACAGGAAATAGTAAGACAAACCACATAGAGGAAATAGTTAACATTCTAACTAACATTAGGAAGAAAGGGCTAATTTCTTTTTTTAGAAAAGATCAACTTTATCTATTTGTTACATGAGAAAAACAGTATTCATACAGTAAAACTGACCTTCCATGTCACCAGTAAGCATAATCAAGGCTTGGTGGTGGTAGCATCATGCTGTGGGGATGCTTTTTAGCTGGATTTTGGATATTGGCCAGACGCAATAAGAAAACTGAAGGATAAAAACACAAGGTATTTGAGCAGTAGCCAAAGGGCCTGTAGTAGTTGCAGATATAAAAACTTTCAAATCAGCTGCTTGTGTGGAGGAACCCATTAACAGGATAATAAGAGGTGAAATCCATATACTGAAAAAAAGGAGAAACATTCTGCTTAAAATAGGGTTAAGAAAGAACTCTCAAGTTTTGCTGTTAGCTGTGTAGGGGACACAGGAAAAGTTAAAAAGTAACCGAAGTCTGTTGAGATTAAATTTAACCTGTTTTTGGTCTACATGCAATCCTTTGGATCTTGTGGAAAACTACAGGTGCTGGTCATAAAATTAGAATATCATGAAAAAGTAGATTGATTTCAGTAATTCCATTTAAAAAGTGAAACTTGTATATTATATTCATACATTACATACAAACTCATATATTTCAGATGTTTATTTTGTTTAATTTTGATGATTACAAATGACAACAAATGAAAATCTCAAATTCATCATATCAGAAAATTAGAATATTACTGAAGACCAATAAAAACAAAGGATTTATAGAAATGTTGGCCAACTGAAAAGTATGAACATGAAAAGTATGAGCATGTACAGCACTCAGTATTTAGTTGGGCCTCCTTTGGCCTGTATTACTGCAGCAATGCGGCGTGGCATGGAGTCGATCAGTCTGTGGCACTGCTCAGGTGTTATGATAGCCCAGGTTGCTCTAATAGTGGCTTTTAGCTCTTCTGAATTGTTGGGTCTGGTGTATTGCATCTTCTTCTTCACAATACCCCATAGATTTTCTATGGGGTTAAGGTCAGGAGAGTTTGCTGGCCAATTAAGAACAGGGATACCATGGTCCTTCAACCAGGTACTGGTAGCTTTGGCACTGTGTGCAGGTGCCAAGTCCTGTTCGAAAATGAAATCTGCATCTCCAAAAAGTTGGTCAGCTGCAGGAAGCATGAAGTGCTCTAAAACTTCCTGGTATGTGGCTGCGTTGACCCTGGACCTCAGAAAACACAATGGACCAACACCAGCAGATGACATGGCACCCCAAACCATCACTGACTGTGGAAACTTTACACTGGACTTCAAGCAACGTGGATGAAGTGCCTCTCTTCTTTTCCTCCAGACTCTGGGACCTTGATTTCCAAAGGAAATGCAAAATTTACTTTCATCAGAGAACATGACTTTGGACCACTCACCAGCAGTCCAGTCCTGTTTCTCTTTAGCCCAGGCAAGACGCTTCTGACGCTGTCTGTGGTTCAAGAGTGGCTTGACACAAGGAATGCGACAGCAGAAACCCATGTCTTTCATACGTCTGTGTGTGGTGGTTCTTGAAGCACTCACTCCAGCTGCAGTCCACTCTTTGTGAATCTCCCCCACATTTTTGAATGGGTTTTGTTTCACAATCCTCTCCAGGGTGCGGTTATCTCTCTTGCTTGTACACTTTTTTCGACCACATCTTTTCCTTCCCTTCGCCTCTCTATTAATGTGCTTGGACACTGAGCTCTGTGAACAGCCAGCCTCTTTAGCGATGACCTTTTGTGTCTTGCCCTCCTTGTGCAAGGTGTCGATGGTCGTCTTTTGGACAACTGTCAAGTCAGCAGTCTTCCCCATGATTGTGTAGCCTATAGAACTAGACTGAAAGACCATTTAAAGGCTTTTGCAGGTGGTTTGAGTTAATTAGCTGATTAGAGTGTGGCACCAGGGGCCATCAATTTTGAACCTTTTCACAATATTCTAATTTTCTGATATGATGAATTTGAGATTTTCATTTGTTGTCATTTGTAATCCTCAAAATTAAACAAAATAAACATCTGAAATATATGAGTTTGTATGTAATGTATGAATATAATATACAAGTTTCACTTTTTAAATGGAATTACTGAAATCAATCTACTTTTTCATGATATTCTAATTTTATGACCAGCACCTGTAAGGCTGCAAATGGCCTCACCTCAAATGCACAAAATGTTAAAAATATGCTCTTCCTTCAGTTTGACAGAGCTTGATCCATTTTTTCAGAGAAGTATGGGGAAATGTGTCAGTCTTTGGAAAGCTAAAGAGGCACAAACACAAAAATATTTCCAGCTGTAACCGCAAACGCATTGATTCAAGGGGACTGGGTGCAAGACAGGACAAACCATTCAATCTTTTCACTGAAAAAAAGAAAAGAAAATGTAAAAATATATATATTTTTTCTCTGTGCTTCAAAACTGCTTTTCTCATCTGTTAAATAGTTTTATGTGAATGCATGTGGAAGGTATTTCTATGGAATTACTTTGTACTAAGTCCTTACAGAAATAGATGATGCTTTATTGTCTCAAACTGGCTGCCGTATTTTTTATATTTTCTATAATATTGGTCCTGGAGGCTTTTAAAGGTATTTAACCAGAACAGAATGACTGGTAGACCCAATTCATGTCTTAAAACATTTGTTTTAATTTGTTTATCTTTTTAAACTTGGAACAACATTAATGTAAAATAATTCCGTCACTCAGTAGGAATGAGCTTATGGCTGCACTTTAATACTGGTGCAGAGATGGGTAAAGAACCCAGAAATTGTAATTAAGTAATAGTAGCACTACTTCATCATGTTTTTAAACACACCAAAAAGTAAAAAAGTAAAAAGTAGCCTTTAAATGAATTGCTCAGGTAGAGTAAAAAAAAGTGTTTGGTAAAAAAGCAACTACTTACTATCCATCATATTAAACAACTGATGTGGAAATTCTGGTGTTTCAGAGAAAACTGTAATTACAAAATAATAAAAATGGGATCGGGATGAAGTCTTCAAAAGATTTTGGAGCTATAAAGCTTAAAAAAATCAATAGTTACAGTATGTTAGAATATATTGAATTAAAGCTTACTGCCCTCGTCCAACCCCCCACTTGTGTCCCAACTGTTAAAGAACATATGCTAAAGAGCCCCCTTAAGGCGTACACTGTGTGATTTTCGGGGCGATTTACAGCCTGATTGTGCGTTGTGCAGTGTACAGGGGGTAACAAGGGGCGATCAGCCTCTCAGGACCACCTCCCGATCAGGAATCGTGAGGTCGGGAGAAAATAAAACATGTTTGCCATGCTTCTGCCCCTCCCCGCTAGAAGCATGGCGGGGGTGCAATGAGTGAAATGGAATTATTTCTGTAAAATTGACAGACTGCAGTAGCCATGTGTTTGTCCAAATATGTCGTCACCCTTTCTTCTTAGAGAAACGATTGAAAAAAATCACAGTGTAAGCCCGGCTTTAGAAGCCACAACAGCTGCTAAAGGGCCCTCAACAGTTGTTAGGAATCGCTATGTGTGTCCTTTCTCTTCTTCCGCCCCGCCCTTCAAAAAGTCTGTGCACACCACTGGTTTGAAGAGCTGCAAACAGAGGCGTAGCCAGAAAATCCTAATCCTAATAGGGGTGGCCAGTCAATAACTAATGTACATTGAGGGGTGGCCGAAAGGCGCCAGAACCTCACAGTCAATCTACAATGTTCCAACAGGAACGAGCACAACATCCATATTTTCTAAATAAAAACTGACTATATTTTCCTGCAGCCTTTGCTAACAAATAGACACACATATATATTTAAACATCCATGCCGTCTAAATAAAAGGAATAGTAGTCTTTCAGGTTTGAGTTCTGGGGCGAAAATATTTTACATTGTCATTACCTACTTTTATCAATAAACATTCTGCAAAAAAAAAAAAGATACTTAAATGTACTAATATCCACATTAAGTGAATTTTATGTTATTATTAAAGTAGTTATTTATCTATCATTTTAATGAAGACTCCTAGATGACTTACACAGACATATAATATTCTCTTTACTTCAAATAACACAAAATTTGGTTCTGAAAAGAGCGTGAATTCTTTATTTATCATCTTTAATGTTAGTATATTGGAGTGCATAATAAACCACAGTGATTCTGTTGTAAAGTAATTGGTAAAATATGAAAAATTTAAAGGTTTAATAAGTTTGAACTTTCCCCTTGAGAGTATTACTGCTGCTACTATCTGTATTAGAGAGAAAAAATTTTATGGGTGGCCAATAATTGGCTAAGGGTGGCTATGGACACCCCTGGCCCTCCTTCTAGCTCCGCCCCTGATGATTTATATTTTAAAAAATGAACCATTCCCCTGTTATTTGTTTCATTCTTTCATTTTTATGTCCCTATAAAAAGAAAGCCCCCCCTTCAGTGAATTGAATCTAGAACCGCCCCTGTTCCTGTTGTCCAGTATCCATGAGAGGAAGCAGTGTGGTGCTGCACAGTACAGGTGCTCCACAAATCCAGTCAGCTCTCCGCCCTTCTCTGCGCTCATTCGCTCTCCCAACCAGCCCGGATGTAGCGCACAGGAGCGCTCAGTCCTCCACTCCAGAGATAATAACATGGCGCTGGCAGACACATAACGGTGCTCATCACACTAATAATATGAACAAGATCAGACCAAATACAAGCCGTCGGGACATGTGAGCTCTTCGACCCCCAACACAAGCAGGTAGGAAGATGTTCGAAAGACGCGCTTTGAAGATGCGATTATGCTCCAAATAAAAGCCAAATGTGCCTGCTGCTTATCTTCTTCCACTGGAGAGGGGCTAAAAAAAAAAAGGAAAAAAAGCTGCTTTGCTGAGGTGAAATGCTGGTCTGATGGTTTATATCCCCGGTTCTCCGTCCGCAGGCTTAGGTTCCTCCTCCATGCTGAAAACAGCAGTGTCATTCTGGGCTGCTTTGCGTCGCTGCTTACGATGCGTCCGTGCAGAACTAAATCTGTCATTTTCTAGTGCATGTGTGTGATCATGGCTGTCAGGCGCTCCGTGCGTCGGCCGCTGTCCTTGGTGTTGAAACGGGTGGCCAGCTCACCTATATGCACGGTGCTAACACTTTCCTATGCTCTCCAAGCTGTCGTACAAACAACCTCTCTAATGCCCAAACCAAGAGGGATTGTTGTCAATCCTTGGAGGTCGAACGGAAAAAAATACTACAACCTTAGAGTATATGTGTGCATGACTATCCTTATTGCTACATGTCTTTATTGAAGCATAAGAGCATATATTATTCTTTATATTCACTCTGCTGCACATGGCAGTGGGGATGTCATTGTAAAGCATTTGATTGCACTGCTATTTTTAAAGATGTATTTTTGTGCAAATTCTTGCAGACAGCCTTAGTGGGATGTAGCTAATGCAGGCCAGGTAGGGGCAGGAACAGATGGCCTGTTTTCAACTTCAGTCTGGATAAGAATGTGTAGACGAAAATTAAAAGTGGTGGCTTGGCACTCTGAGCAGGGGTTCCTCTCCCTAAGCTCCTCATTGCCCTAATAGCAGCACTGATCACATGGGAGACAATAACAGGCTGTCATGAGCCCCTAAACACGGAGAGACCACTGACAGTGATGTAAATATAAAGGAGGCTAAATCAGACCTCTTGTTAGGGATCTTTCTTAGGGAAGGATCTTTGGCAGGATCTAATGGGAGAGTGAATTATGTCTGACCAACAGAAAAAAACCCCGTGTTATATCAAGCATTTCAAAAGTAAAAATTTATGTTTTTTTGCTCTGGAACCTAATTTAGAACTCATGAACCTCATTTTTACCCCAATCAATTGGCTGTAGATTGGATATGGCAAATTTCTATTTAACCAGCTCAGATAAATTTTTTTCCTGTTCATTAAATGGCTCAAAAATGACTATATCTATAGAAATGAAATCAAAACAAATTCTCTCCAAAGATGTAATATGTATAAAATAACCCTCAGCCTGGTAGCCGTTACTTGGGAGACGGATTTAGATGCAGTATTAACACTTAAAACTATATACCAGAAAGACAGTAAAATCTGCTCTGTATCAGAGCACTTCAGCAACATGCATCCAGTTATGCATTAAAGATGTCCACTGATGCATGTCTGTTGACAGGATGCATCGCTGCACTACTGATGTGCATTTCCCTTCAAATGTAAAAAAGATTAAGAAAAATAAATGAAATTGGCATCATTCAGGAAATGCTTAATCTTAAATTCGTTATTTTATAAATTAATAAAGGATTTTATACAGAAAACTATTGTGCTCTAATATCTTGTGGTTTGGTCGCATGTGATTCAATTTGTTGATGCCCTGTCAAAATAAACAAGAAAACCCCCAAATTTCTCAAAGAGTGATTGAAACTGAAAAAATCTTGTAAGTTTTTTCCATATTCAACACACATCAGACTTCTCTTTTAATATGGTTCCATATTACAAGAAGCTGTGTTAATAAAAAAAAAAAAAAGATACTAGCCTTAAAGCAATAAGACTGTCAACTTTTGAAGCACCGATCTCTGCTCTTCCCTGTGAGCAGTGGGTGGTTTGGCCAGCTCTTCCTGGACAAACTGCTACAGTTGCCTCAGGTTTGAAGGGTTGGATCTTCACAGTGTATTTTTCAAATCTTTCTACAGTTGTTCATAAGAACTAAATTCTGGACTCCAATGTTGACAATGCAAACTGTGAATGGGACTATGCTGTCTGACACTTTTCAGCATATCCAGAATCCCATGGTTTTCCACATGCTCAATGTTACCAATACCCGATGCAGCAGATCAGCATCCTAAGAGGTATCTCTGCTTGTAGGAAGGTGAAGTTGCATAGAGATGATTTTGTTGCCCTCAGTTTTGGCATTTGTATCTATAATTTTTCTGAGCCCTGTTTTCTCTGGCCTATATTCAGTATGTTTCACATATTAATATCAAACTACTCTGTCTCTTTAACGCTGCTGAAGGGATGAATTAAAAGTGCTTATAGAGGTACCAAGAAATCTGTCATCACAGGTTACATCTTTACCAAGAACATTCATTTATGTAATTTCACATTTTCAATAGTTGAGTCTGTCACAGTATAGGTATGCATGCACGTGCTCAATAATTTCTTCAAACTGGTTAATTGTTTATAGGGAATGGAGCCTTTTTTTCAATGCTCTTGAAGAGTTCCAACAAATGTTTCCGTTTCTAGAGCTGACCTATAGAAGCGGTATCAGAATGAGGTTGTCCTGTATGGAGCTGGCAGCATGCCTCTTTAAATGCAAGGTTTTCCGTTGCTCTAGTCCTGCTGACTCGCCAAGGAGGGATTTAAGGGCGCTCTTTGTACGTCCTTCAGAAAATGATTGGGTGTGTTACTGTAAAACCCGAAGACACTTATAAGCTGAGTCAATGTGTGGGTCTGCGTTCGCTTGCTTGCACCTTTCCTGTTTAACCACTCTGTAATGTATTCAGCCCGAACGCTGAGCACAACAGCTTTACATAATGATCAAAGCTTGAGGGATGCCAAAGCATGGCTTCAGCCTGCAGTTATAATAATAATAACCTTTGAAGTTATCACAATCCCTCATCCTCATCATACATCATACTCCCCTTTTGTAGTCCTCGTTCTCTCTCCGTTTCTCTGTGACACACCAACGCATACATACTCACATGGACCCACTCGAAGGGCCTCTTCTGTTGAATGTTTCTGGATGTGGGGTGAGCACTTGAAAGAGGAAAGTGATAATGAACACATGACAAACTATTTTAGTCCCTATAGCTCACCACTAGACTGCTCTCTGGTGTCTGTGAGGAGGCAGCCTCTGCTGTTTCCACATTTCCACAATTACATAAGAGTCAGAAGGAGTCGTACACACAGTGATCTAGCCAGAAGAAGATGAGCTAATGCTACATGTCTCTGATGGTGGTTAGCACTGACTAACTCTTCTAAAATATTTCCCATTTTGTCATTTTACATAGAAAGTAGCAATACTTGTGATGCAGAAGCATGGAAATGAATAACAAAGTATGAATTTGTGTTCAGGTGCCTGTGTTCTCATATGGCCAAATGAAATGCAGTGCAACCATTTACCCCAAAAAGTCACCTCATTACTAAAATAGAACACTTTTGGTTAAAGTTGTAAACTAAGAGCATCATGAAAACCAAGAAAGGCCGACAGGTCTGGAATAAAGGTGTGGAGAAGTTTAAAGCAGGGTTAGGTGTTAAACTGTATATTGATGTCTGAATATCTCACTGAGATTCAATTCAATTTAGTTTATTTACAATCATCTTGGGGCACTTTACAGAGACACTGAAATCAGACTGGTGGAAGTTTCTATCAAGTAAAGCCAGTTGATTGCATCCGTTCATTGACTTGCATGACATGCGCCTCGTGGATGAGCTTTTTGTGACGATTTTTGATTGTTTTGGTCAGCAATCCCTCGCACCAAGGATGCATCCAGTGACAGTAGAAATAAAAAACTCCCTTTTAATACGGATAAACCTCCAGCAGAACCAGGCTCACCCTTAGCGGCCAGCTGCTGAAGCTGACTGGTGTTCAAGGAGACAGAAAAAGACTGAAAAATAAGCAGAAATACAAAAGGTAATTGTTAACTAGCTCCACAGGTGACCCTGTCCAGGATTGAGATGTAAAAAAGTCAGTTAGGTAAGAGAATCTCTTATCATAACAGCTGTTAATCATGCATTCCACATGTCTGGTCTTTATGGAAATGTGGATGGAAGAAGGTTTCCCAGTAGAATAATCTTGCCTGATGCCATGTTTCATTTAGGCAAAAAAGGTATTGCAGGGAAACACCACACCAAACACACACCATCCTCCTCAGGGGAACTCTGCTGGCAGAATCATATTGTGGGAGATTTTTCAGCAGCGACTGGAAAGCTGATTAGCTATATGGAAATAAGGATAGAGCTAGATAAGACTCCAAAAGACTGGGGTGGTGGTTCATGTGTCAGCGAGGGAACCACCATCACCATGCAGCAAGAAGAACAAAGGGATGCTTTGGTTCAAAGCATTCATATTGATTAGTCAAAATGAATAAAGTTCTAAATCTAACTTATAATCTTTGACAAAACTTTAAAATTTTCTTACACAGATGCTTTTCTTCCAATCTTTCAAACTATTTTGCCTAGACAAATGGAAAAATGTGAAACTCCACCTTTGCGAAGCTGTCAGAGACCTCCCCTATAAGCCTTGCAGCAGCTTTAGTAACTAATGATCTTTATTCAAACAAATATGAATACGTTTTAAGCTTTACAAGTATTTTTATGAAGCACGGTTTAAAAATGTAAGCATAAAGTTAGTGGATTATTATCAAAAAAGGTTTTCCAAACCTACACAACAAATGTTTGAGTAAAGTGTAAGAGAGTCAAGTAGAAAAGAAGGAGGGGCAGATGTTAGGTTGAGGGTAAAATAGAAGAAGAGAAACAAATGAGAGGCAGGTGAACATATGCAGAGGGAGGCACTGATGGTGAGATAACATTCAGCTCAGGAGGTCAAAGGAAAGCAGCAATGGGTGAATAAGACACGGCTGGGTGTTTGACAGGGTGTGTGTTTGGAGGATGATAATGAGGAAAAGGAAAAGGGTAAATAAGGGAATCAAAGGGCCGAAAGAATAACAAAAAGACAAGTGTCCACAGAGGGAGCAGCTGCCCGCTTCTCTTCGCAGGGGGACCTGCTACATCCCACTTCAGGCACAAACAAGTAGTCTGAAT